ATGCCAGTGAACCACTGAATCACAGCTATATCAACTTGTTGGTGAGAGGCTAGTCTAGTTAGACTAATGCCCTCTTTGAAACAAAAACTGCATCAGATATCTGAGACAAACGGATGTTGCTTTAGATGTTTGTGTTAGGATCACTGTCCTGGCAGTCTGGGTGGTCTCGTTTTTGTTCATTGCTTTTGTCTGACACAGGTTATAGGAAGTAACACACACACACACACACACACACACACACACACACACACACACACACATATATATATATATATATATATATATATATATATATGTGTGTGTGTGTGTGTGTGTGTGTGTGTGTGTGTGTGTTTTTAAGTAGTATTTATTTTTAATGCCCTGCATTAACTCTGCCAAACAATTCTGCACAGTTATAATTAGGGATGCACCGATCAGGTTTTTTGCTGCCGATCACCAATACCGATATTAAAGAATGCTGATCACCGATACCGATCACCGATACCGATCACGTGGATTGGCCAGAAATTTTCTACAACATTATAATGAGTGCTACAAACTACATAATCTGGGAATAAAGGAAATGTAACCTAATCTAAAATGGTCTGTATTAGGGTTGTCACAGTGTGAAAATTTAACCTCACGGTTATTGTGACCAAAATTACCACGGTTTTTGGTATTATCGCGGTATTTTTTTTAAACGTGCTACATTTTCACACAATTAAATAAACCCTGTATGTCAGGAAATATTGTCCTCAGTTTGTGTCTAAATTTAGCCTAAAATGTGTTATTTTGTAATTATGTTGTTTATTTGTTTACATTTTTCCCCTTTAGTCTTTAAAATACCAATATTTGCCCATAACTTCTTATTTTGTGTCTGTTTGATGTCATCATTTAAAAGTATTAGATCAGATAATACTCAGTACTCAAGTAGCCTTCTAATCAGATACTTTTTTACCCTTACTTGAGTAATAAACCCTATATCAGGAGAATGTTGTCCTCGGTTTGTGTTCTTCCAGTAAGCTTTGCAGATGTGGGAAAATGTCATCAGGCAGTAATCGTTGTTAAATTCATAATTATTCTCGGAGAGAGACCGACTCTTATCTGCCCCTGGGAGCCCCGTAATGCATAGCGTCATTTCAACATGGCGGTGTCCGCGACACGGTTTATATGCAGGTAGCGGCGCTGCGGCTGCTTTATATAGCGACTCGTTGCATTCTCCCTCAACCCAAATCCTCGGATCACGCATTTTAGCTAAAACGCTAACGTTAGCTTGCCTTGCGTTGACTGTAGAGTTGTGGGTGATGGTCACGCAGATGTGTCATGAGATTTGAAGCGCTGCTGCCTTTCACAGACACTTTTTCTGCACGTGCTGCAAACAGGTAGGGCTGTAGCGAAGCCTCGACGAAGTCGACGGCTCGATTCTAAAAATATGTCGACGTCAGATCCGGAAGTCGACGCACCGCGCCCACTTGTCGCATCCCCAGGAGTTTGTAAATAGAGGAGGAATCTGCCTGTTTTTCCTCTACTTCGCCCTCTTCTCCGCCTTCACTAACATCTCCGCCAAATACCGAAGACCCGGAACAACGTCCGTCCACTACTAGATTATTTTCCTGTTTTGCCCCTTCGTCTCCCGGCAACGGACAACAACTTCCGGGGTCAGATGTGCGCTGCTCCGTCTCTGTCGCAGATGTAGAAAATCACCGGGAGCGCTTCTCCCTTCATTAAGGAGCTTCTTTCAGACATGAGGAGAGCTGTTTTGGTGGTAGCAGTCTCTCCTCCGTGCTGGTCTGTTTGCTGCTGGGTGTTTTTGGTTTATTTAAACTTGGTAACTTGAACTTAACGTTGGTAAAGCTACTGTTAGCATCTTCGCTAACAGCTTCTTGCGCTGTGATAAGCTGTTACGTTTTGGTTTAGAGTTCATCTTTTTTGTGGTGCAGATCTCCCTTTTATTACATTTAGAGTGTTGTGGGTTTTCGGTTTAGTGTAAAATATCACCTGAGTTTGGTTTAACCCGTAAGACCACTCGCCTCACGCACATAAGTGACCAAAACAAAGCAGCATGGAGACACTCCATCTTCTACCACCTCTCAGGCAGCAGCCTGCACTCCCAGGTTCTACACGTCACCAGAAAACCAACACAATAAACGCAGTGTTATACAAAATGGAAGGCCTGTAGTGTTTATTCTCTTACAGTAAGAATTTATCAATTTTTTTGAGGAATTTATTTGAGATTTTCTGGTTTTTGTTAATTGTGCAATAGAAAAATAATCATTAGATTAATTTTCTAAATAGTCATTAGAATAGTCGACTATTCGATAAAATAATCGTCAGAATAATCGTTTTAAAAATAATCGTTTACCCCCAGCCCTACAAACAGGATAGCCGTCTTCTATCAACTGTCCCTCGGCATTCTTCAAATATCTAAAATATGCCCGTACTTCCGACTTTGTCTTCTTTGAGGGATAAAAAATGTCCTCCTGAGCGCTGCCGTCTCCTCCTTTGGCCATTATTTCAGCTTTAGCTTCAAGAAAGTTTTGTTGTAAACAAAGCGTGCACGTGCCGCCGGTCCTGCAACTTCAGCCGATGATACGGTGGCTGGTAAGGGTCACCGCGCCTACACCGCAGCCACGGTAAACCCACCAAGATAATATAGTTTTTTAAAAAACAAGACGGTTATTATTATTGTCAACTTTTTTTTTTTTTTACCGGGGTTTACCGCTACACTGGTTACCGTGACAACCCTACCTGATCGGTTTGCTTTGATCTATTTTGAAAATTCCGATCAAAACCGATAGGGGCGCTATCGGCCGATTACGATCAAATGCCGATCCATCGGTGCATCCCTAGTTATAATCCCTTTATTTGGTTGTATTTATTTATTTTTGTACAAATGAGGGTTCACTTAATTTATTTTTGTTAGTTTTATAATCTTTTTTGTGTTTTAACTTGAAGCCCTGTAAAATAGATTCATTTCTGGGACAGACAATATCTAATCTGATCTAATCTAATCTCAACTACCCCCAAGTGGTGGAAAAAAAGCCACAGAACATATTTGTACCTGTAAATCTGCCTTTAGCAACAATACAGAGTGTGGCTAGTTTCTGCTGAGAGACTTAAGCTGGGCGGACACTGCGCCCCTTTTTTACTTGTAGCATGCAGCTCCATCTCAAATTGCACGACTTCCTCGCGGAGCATTTCTCCCGAGTCATGTTCTCACACTGTCCGACCCAGTTCTCAGATGTGACCTGTATGCCTGGTAGAAGTACGTGTGACGTAGAAATATACTAAAAATAGCTGTTTTTACATGACACGTTGGGCTTTTATTGTGTTGTTATTGATGTCTGATGTCCCTCGGGATTGCTGTCGGAGGATACAAAGGGATTTATGGGGGCTGGAGGACGAAAGAAAGAAAGTAAATTAATGTTTTGTGATCAGTTCAATCTGACAAACATGGCAAACACGTTTTCTTGTCAATCCTTGTCATTGTGCAAAGAAAAGTGTAAAAATCAAAACAAATGACGTGTGTTGATAAGGAAATAGCTGGCGAGCCGTGTGGACGGTTGTGGTACTTTTGGGTTTCAGCGCTGCTGCTTCAACAGTGCAAGGCCTGCTAATGTATTGATTAAATAAGTAATCCACTCCTTTAACAAAGGAACATTTGTTCTCAGCTCATAAACTCTTTGTTCCGTTTTGTATTATGTTGATTTTGTTAGGTTCATAAAGCCATCCACATAGTACTCTAAACACTACTCCCTGGGATTGATAGAAATATTGTCAAAATAAAAATGTTCAAAGTGAATTAAATAAAGGTCAAAATGAATGAAGCCTGATTCAATCCCTGACCGTAAAAGCAAAACCTAACATGTTACAGTGTTTGTATTACTAAAGCGTTTCTATCACTGAGTACATGGTTCAGCTAAGGTTCATTTGTTTAAAAACACATGAGAGAAACAAGAACAACCTAGACACCAGAATACAGTATAACAGGAGGAAAGGTGTTGAAATTGCAGACGTGTGGCAGCCGTGGAAATCCGGAATCCGTTAAGTGACACGTTCAAGTTCAGCTCCAGAAGAGAAAACAGCTGTGTGGCTTGCCAAGACAGCATCAGTCCAGAACCAAAAAATTACAGCTTTTTAATGAGGGCTTTTGAAGGTGGCAGCTTCATTACAGTGGGTCTGCCTAGTAAAGATTTAGCACCCATCCGGCTTCTGGTTTTGGGAACGATGAGCAGTTGCTGCTCTGAATAGAGAACATTTCCAAGGCAACGTATGAAGATGGTGCTGCTTTCAGCAAAGCAGTTTGTTCTGCCTAAGAATGGCAGTCGGCAGTGAAATGTAGAAAATGTGGCACATCAGCTGAATGCCAGAAATGTGGACTTTTTCTTGAAAAGATTCGCGGCCCTTCTGTGTGATTTTGTGCCAAGAGGCAAACCAAATGTTTCATCACATCCGAGGGTTGCCTTAGACTCCAAAGGGAAAACGTCTGACTTGCGGTGACCAATACGCTTGTTATGTTCATCCCAGACTCAAGAGAACACCTCATCTGCCTGAAAACGTCTTTCACTTTGGGGTAGACTTGATGTAATATTTGTTGCACCTTGGTATTGCAGAATGTCTTGTGCTGACAGAACGGTGTCGGGGATTACTCATTTCTCACTGTTAGCTGATTTTGGAAAGCCTTGACTCTACTGGATCAAAGTGACTATTTTATGTGTTGCTGTCTGTTTTGTGGTACCAAATGTTCTCTTTTTTTTAAATGAAATCCACAGTGTAGCTCAGATTTGGACTTGGGTGCTTCCTTAGCTGTCAGCTGGGATTTGACCCAAAGGGACGGACAGCTTGAATTATGAAGCATTCGATGCAGAGGGAGAGGGGATGAGTAGTTACTGAGCCTCTCAGCAAGCCATAAATAATAATCTAGAAAAACAACAAAGAAAAAACTTTTTTTTACTTTAGTTTTAAGATAACTATAGTTTAATCTATTTTCTTTTTTTCTTTGCTTTCTATCCTTGTTACAGATTGACTTGGGCTCTGTGGAGCTCCAGCCAGCTCCAGACCCCCAGGAGCTCACCCAGGAGATGATCAGGCACGCTCTGCAGCGCAGCACAAGCCTGAAGAAAGAAAACTCAAGACTGTTGGAGGAAAATTATAGACTGAGACAGGATCACCAGCGAATAGTCACAGAGTAAGGATGAGAAACCACATTTCCAACCAAGTAAACTTATAACATTCAGTTCGGGCTGGGCAATAAGTCGATATTATTAAAATTTTGATACAATTTCAAACAAGAAACAAGATGACTTTATATCGACATAACTAGACTAACCGCTAGTTCTAGCAGCTAGTACTAGCGGCTAGTGCTAGCGGCTAGCTGGTTCCATCTCTAAGCGATCATTGCATGTTTTCTCATGCATCTGCTTGATCAGGAAACCTCTAGGTCAAGCTTTTGCTCTAAACTTTGCATTTGGCTTTGTGGTTTTTAATTATTTGGGGATGTTTGTTCGTGTTTCAGCGAGCCTTTTCACCGTGGCTGCCAACCTTAGTTCTGTTTATCCTGCTTGTGTAGAGGCGGACCAAACCCCTCTACCGCGTAGTCAGGAAACCGATACGGAGAGCAGCAGGACCAAATTTGTGCGAGTGTAACCCTCTGCATTAGGCCTGGGAGGATAAAACATTTTTGATGGACGATATATTGTCCAACAAATTATGGATGATAAACTGTATTGTCAACATGATCGAGACCAAAATAAACACTTATGTAATGTTAATATATCATAATAATGCAAGGACACCCTTTAGAGTGCAACGATCAAACGCCTATTTAACTCATTCACTGTCAGCTGTTTCCCGATCAGAAAAGCCCTTAGCTGGCAGCGTTTTTCAGCGTTTTCACTGTTTTTTAAGAGTCACACAACGTTGCGCTTTATGATGATGTCGACGCCAAAACTAACAAAACAAAGCGTAGACTCACCTCTTACATCAGGAAGAATCAGCACGTATTGAGCGTTATCCATTCTTTCATAATTCGTTGTCGAGTAGTTATCGGCAGAAGTTTTTCCGGTTCGCGCCTCACGTTTTTTTACAGCAGCGGCCCAAAACGATCTCCTAACACATGAATTTTCTGCTTCCTGATCACGTGACGTGTGACTTTCTCAGATGATCAGCTTCAGAGCTGGGATGTTTGTTCTCACAGTGTGGGGGCTCGTTCCGATGCCCATACAGTTAAAAAGATGCAAAGGACAACTTTAGTCATCATTGGCAGTTAATGAGTAAACATTAGAATGTCCAGAACCAGAACTTCTAAATAAATAAATAAATAAAACAGAAAATAAATAACAAAAAAAAGGACTTCCACTCTCTGTTTGAAAATATTGCACCAAAAACAGCAAAATAGACTGTCTCTCCAAAACAATAAATGCAATGGCCTTCTAGTGTGAACAACCAAAACTGCACTTCAATAATGATAATAAATAATAATAGAGTTGTGCATTTCATAACCTCGATATATTGAGGCTTGAAAATAATTGACTTCATTTTCCTCTATCGTACGATTAATTGATTTATTCCCAGTCCTACTCTGCATAGTGGATGCAAATACATCATGATTTTAGCTTAACCTAATACATTTCTTCCTCTGGACAATAAATAATTACTGCATCCACCCCCTTCCCCCGCTGTTACGGACAACACACAGTAGCGTACCAGCCCCCCCCCCCGCCCCCATTCTCACGGCCCACCGTGTTTTGCAAGTTTTCTGGGGGAGACCCTGCATACAGTGTTTCTAAAGTTCAGACTGATAAAGGGTGGCACTAAGGTTCATGTTGGACAAGAATCGATACATTTTTATGCATTCATTCTGCTGATTAACTTATGTTTACAATTTCTCAAGACAGCTTGAAGGGAGTTAACTTATAAATATTTTATAGGAAGAAAAAATATATAATATGAATATCGTATATCAAAATTCAGCAAAAAGATATAAGTAAGTAAGATAAAAGTATAAGTAAGATCGAGATATACGTTTTGGTCCATATCGCCCAAGCCCTATGCTCAGTGGATGTTTGTTAAGTTATTCATAATGCAATATTATTTTTATTTGTTTGCTGGTAAAAGAGCAAAAAGAAAAGTAACGTTTGTAAGTGGTTACTTTTAATAAATTGTCAGTAGATTATGAAGGTATTCAATAAAATGTAATAATTCATAAAAAATATTATCAATATTATTTAACCTTTAATATTCGATTGATTATGAAACTAGGTAATTTGGGTAATGCCAGGGAAAACATCACTTTATAATAATTTGGCACCTAGGCAAAAATATTGTTTATAAAAATCAATTTATTACTATATTTCTATTACTAATGATGATGCAAGACAAATGATTTTAAATGGTCATTCAAAGCGAAATCAGCTGAGACAACGAATGAACTCTGATGAAACATGACCTTAAGACCTTGATTAAGTGACTCAGAAATGTGTGAAGTCTGGTTCTATAAAATAAGTCTGGCTGAACGTTTAATGAGGTTTAACAAGTTATCAAATTAATATTAACCTATCCAACTCCAGTGCAGAGATACGATTCCCATGTATGGAAACCTGTCAGCGATCTGGCCGGCAGGAAGTTTCCTCGGCAAACGAAGAGTTTTACTTCTGGATGTCACGGACCGTATTTCCCTGAATCAGCATCAGCTAGTCAGAGATTGTCTCCTGGGCCTCATCTGTGTGTGTGTTTGTACAAATTTAGGTTGGAACATCAGGTTCATCAAAAGGAGACATTAGAGATGGAGCTATACTCACGTTTTGTCATGGTGTTGAATGAGAAGAAAGCTAAGATCAGAGGGCTGCAGGATGCTGTTCACCAGCTTCACCGGGCTGATGATCAACACAGAGAGGAGGAGCGACCGCACAGGTTTGCAGGCTGATTGTCAAAAGTCTTTGTTTGTAAATAAAACAGCTCATCTAAATTTGTGTGATTCTTCTTAGTGACAAAGATGCAACTCAGGGTGGAGGCAGCATTCAGAATAAAGAGGCCAACAAGGGCATCCATCCATCTCAGGAGCCAACTATCCTCATCACAGGTGTGTTTGTTTTCATTTGTTTTTGTTATGTTACAAGAAAAGCTGTGAAATAGTGAAGACATTTTATGTTGTATTAGTGGAGCGCAAAGCAACAGATTGTTTTCATGAATTTAGAATCTTGCTTCTGATTTTTGTGTTGCACGCAGTGGGGCCAGTAAAGAGTCAGGACACATGAGTCGTATAAAAGTCGAAGACGAGGCCTCGTTAACCTGCTGCCATTCCTTCGTATGACGACATGGATTACGATGTGATTTACTAATGACGCAAACACCAAGTGAAAGTCTTCTGGTTTTCAGTCTTTTGCAGCAGCTTTTAACTGGAACTATTAAATGTAATTGAAAATGCATGCAGAGAGTGTAAACTTAAAAGCAGAGAAATTACCCTGGAGGTAGCTCAGTTCTTGGAAGCCCTCGTGAGTAAGTCAGTCGTGATTGCTTCAACACGGCCGTCCGTGGGGCGGCCTTCCTCTTCCTGCGTCACGCAGCGCCGCCGTGTGACATCACGCCCCTCCCTGTCATCTGCAGCCCTGCAATCTGCAGGGGTAAACGGCAGATCCCTCTCTCAATAGCCGTTTGTGTTCCACGCCAAACAAAAATCCACTCCAGGAGAGTGTTACAGTTGCAACACATGGTTGTGTTCAGGAGGTTTGGCTCTTGTTTTCCACACACACACGCACGCACGCACGCACACACACACACACACACACACACACACACACACACACACACACACGCTCCCTCCCCTGGATAGATTACAACACTTTGGAGCCTTCAACTTTTTATTGAAATCTCCAAGTAATCATCTTGTTTTCTGTCAATGTTTAAAGAAGCATTAAGCAAAAGAAATCAGTGCCTAGGCGTCTCTTTCTTGACTTGTTTTGGAAACAAGTCATTTTTTCACATGCCTCAGGTTAAAGAGATGCAAACGAGTGTTGTTCTTTTAGTTTTGGGTTTGCATACCCTAACTCTTTGCCTCCAGCAATCAGAGAATCCACATAACATTTCTTCACACTGAGAACAATCTGCCTTCATGGTCTGGGGCAAATAGATAGTCCAACTAATCAGCTATTATTGTTTGACCCAAATCAAAATGCCGATCCAGAATAATGTTTGAGTTGGTTCAGATTGTCACCCCCTTTGACACGCCCGGCCTCTGTTGACCTCTGAGCTCCAGGCAGTGTTTTCATCCTAAGCAGAGTTGGGGGGGGGGCTCTCTTTGACCCGTTCCCTCCAGGTTTAGCTTCTGATAGTGACGACACAGGAAGCATCACTCACAACAGGGGAGCACACGAAGATAAGAGACAGACAGAGAGGAGGAATGAGGAGAGAGGTTGAAAGGCAACGGGGGTTATTTAGAAAGAGAAATGTAAAGAGAAACACCGGATTTCAAATAACTTCTTCTATTTAATAAATTTAATGCCTCTAGTGAACATTTTGGGAGTTTTTTAACAAATGTTCCACAACTTCTCAGTCTGGTGATGTACAAACGGCGAGAGGGGTTATGGCCGAGTTACAGGGCAAACAGGTGTTATCTGTTCATAATCGATTGTGGTTAGACTCATGAGGAATGTCAGATCTCTATTAGTGATAGAAGTTGTGCGGAGTTGTCCAGGATTAACAAAGGTCATGTGAGATAATATGTCCTTAAGCTTACTATAAATATCTCATAGATGCCAGCGATGGAGAATCCGTGAAACCAACAAGGATGTACAGGAAACAGCAGCTTTATTATTGGTTCCATAAGACAGAATCCTTTGAGATTTTTAGTGAATTTTCTGAAAACATTTAATTCTGAAGGCTTTAATTTGAACATGTTGCTTTTTCACCCAATCAATGCTTCTCTGGGTTCTTAAAGAATAAAAATGAACAATAATAACTTTTTAAATGAACTAGTTAAAAAAAAAAATATATATATATATATATATATATATATATATTTATATATATTTAGCCCTTTCTTTATCATGTTACGTTCAGCAACAGTAGACAATAAATTAAAATATTAAAACTTCTAGTGTTCAGTTTAATTCTTGTTTCTCATTGAGATTTAACTTTTTTAAGAGTTGAATTAAAATGTGTGATTTTTTATTAAAAAATTTTATTTTTCACTAATGGAGTTTTTCCATTAGTGACTATTTTTTTAATTTTAGCTTTTTTTTTTTAATTCAGGACGTGATTTGGTGTCTCATGGTGTCACAATTGACACAACGTTTTCTGATGATGACGACGAGCAGCCGAGACGGAAGAGACATTTGCTTTGCACCTCGAGCCCAGATTCATCTGAAGATTAATAGAACAGGTTAGTCCAGTAAATATTATAAATCATACGTTTTCCATCACAGATGTGTATACAATATTTGAGTGGCAGAGTAAAGGCTAAATGTTAACGGAAAATGAGAGAACTCCTCTTTCCTTAGAGATGAAAGCAATTTAAGCGTAGCGTATTTATTCATAAAGCACTTTATTCATGACAAACCACTTTACAAGAATAAAAGACAAAGTTATGCTAATAACACCATAAAATCTGTGATTGTAAAAAGGTGTGGGACACTTGTTTAGTACGTTTGCGGTGATCTTTAGTATGAATGAATGCCTTGTAAGTCAAACTCTGGGGGGCAAAAATCACCAAAGCACCATTTCTAGGAACTAGAAGCGAGTCACATCACAGCTGAGTTTCAGTCGAAAGGAATTGGAGTCTTATTTCCTGATATTTAGACACATCGCCTTAAATTGGGAAACAACAGCGCAACTCTACCACTGACTTGCAACGGGGATACTTCATCTCCACAAATAGCACAAGCCTGGAAGAGTGTGTGGTGAAGTTGCTAATGCTAACTGTTAGCTTCTACTAGCCAAGATGTTCTCAGCTGTTTTCATGTTTAACCTGCATGAAAAACTCAGAGTGACCAGTAATAATCAGAAATAATGATTAAAAAGTGTTCTATAGTGAACCACACCTTTAAAGAACCAAGCATTACTGCAAATATCATCACAGTGAGAAAGAATAAAAACAAAGCAAGATTTAAAGGGGAAAAGCCTGATAAAGGTGGTCCATTTTCAGATAAGATTTAAAATCAGCGAGAATGGACGCTTGACTAATCTGGAGTGGGATGGCAATTCTTCTTGGTGTTTATTAAAAATTGAATTACATTTGATTTGATTTGGTCCGTTTATATATCTGAGGTGCACGAGAGTCCTCTAATGAAACATTACACCCCTTTTATCTGATTTATTTAGTCAAAAATGACTGTGAATATTTATTGGGAACACTTACTCTTTGCACACTCCACTGGTTAAATTACTGTTCAATTAAACAATTCTCTACTTTTTTTGTCCCTGGGTCAGCAACGACCTTTAATGTTTGCTGATCAGTTTTCTGTAGTTATTCTCCGGCCACTATGCACACCATTTAGTAAGATAATCCCCTCTTTAGGAGCATTTCGGTGCTTAATGCTGAGCGAATGAGAGTCACCGTAGTTTGTGTGTGTGGCTCGTTTACAGCCCATCAGTGTGACGAATAAGTTTAGAACACCATCCGTACACATCGTCAACTCATAATTCTACATTTCATTTGTTTCATTTTCTGATTGTTACTCATGAAATAAAATATGTGAATCTATAGGAAGAAAAAGTAAATAACACACACCTATGCCGCTGTCTGGTTTATTTAACTGTGGTAACTACCTGCCACAGGCTCTGCTTTCCTCGTATCATAAATCACTTGATACTAATCTTTAATCACAGTCATCTTTTCCCACACTCCAGAGTTGCGTGCTCCATCGGTCACATGAAAACAGGCTCTTTGACGTTCTCCGGTGCTTCTTCGTGAACTGCTTGTGTCGCAGCTAACATCGCTGGGGGAGCGTGTCAGAGAACCTGGACAAGGTGTAAGGAAGAGTTGGACTTCACACACTTCACACACTCAGCTCTGTGTGAGATCGAGGAAACGGTCCCACCACCAAGAAACTGAGGCCGCCTTGTTATTCCCTCTTTTCATTATGAAAATAAACAAAATGCCATCTCTTTAATTTTCACCCTCTAAAGTAGCAATCTGCTGAAGATAATTTAACCTCAATCTTTTTTCTTGGTTTGCCCTTTCTTCTCTAAATGTCATGTGGCCCTGTGGTGTTTTGTTCTAAATTAATAGGTTTATTTGGTGTTTATTCCCCCACTTCATCTTTCACCTCAGCCACCAGTGTTTTCAAGTTTCCGCTGTTGTGTCTCAATACTGGGAGCAATGAGCCGACCCGCTCTGGGTATTTATCTGACTGTTCAGCCTTTGGCTTTTCTTGTAGTCTTTTGTCATTTTGATGATACCCTTTTGTCTGTTGAGGTCTACGGGTGGCCACCTGAATAATCCTGCAGCAGTGTGTTCTCGCTGGATAAATAATCCCCACAAGAATGCCATACTCTCTCCTCTCCACTCAGCATGTGTTAGGTGTTTTACAAAGAGAGAGAGGGACGTCAAAGGCGGATTTACTGATGAGTGCACAACGACGAGATGAGATGAAGCGGGAGAGATTTGGGGACTGATTAGAAAATTTCAGTGGTTTCATTCAAAATGTGAATACTGAATACAAATATGTTTAACTTTTGTGTGTGTTTTACAAAAAAATTATCTTTCATTCAAGAACAATTGATTTAACAAGTTAAAAATAAAATGTGTTGTACGAGTTTTATTTTGATGTTGTAAAATGTTAACAAAATGTTGTGAATTTTTTAAGTGATACTTTTTTACATCATCACCTTTCAAAGCTTTTTGATGAAAATTAAATGGTTGAAAAGCCCAAATTTTTTATTGGAAAATGTGGAGAAAAACAGGTAAATGTTCTTATTATAAAGTACAGCTAATGTAATTTACAAACTTAAACCCAGCGAGACTCGGTCTGGTAAAGACCTTCCAACCATCTTCACATAAAGAACATAACAAACCAAATAAGCAGCCACGACCTAAACTCCAAGCACCTCCAAATCTGAGACCATGGTTCTCGACTGGAAAAGGGTGGCTTGCCAACTCCGGGTCGGGACAGAGGTCCTACCTCAAGTGGAGGAGTTTAAGTATCTCGGGGTCTTCTTCACGTATGAGGGTAGGAGGGATCAGGAGATCAGCGTCTGCAGTGATGCGGAAGCTGAGCCGATCTGTCGTGGTGAAGAGGGAGCTGAGCCAAAAAGCCAGGCTCTCGATTTACCGGTCGATCTACGTCCCAATCCTCACCTATGGTCATGAGCTTTGTTTAATGACCGAAAGAACGAGATCGCGGATACAAGCGGCCGAAATGAGTTTCCTCCGTAGGGTGGACGGGCTCAGCCTTAGAGATAGGGTGAGGAGCTCGGACATTCGGGAGGGACTCGGAGTAGAGCCGCTGCTCCTCCGCATCGAAAGGAGTCAGTTGAGGTGGTTTGGGCATCTGGTCAGGATGCCTCCTGGACTCCTCCCTGGGGAGGTGTTTCGGGCATTTCTTGCCGGCAGGAGGTCCCCGGGTCGACCCAAGACACGTTGGAGAGGTTACATCTCCAATCTGGTCCGGGAACGCCTTGGGGTCCTGCCAGAGGAGCTGGTGGAGAAGGCCGGGGAGTGGACGGTCTGGAGCTCCCTAGTTGGGATGCTGCCCCCGCGACCCGGACCTGGATAAGCGGAGGAAGACGACGACGACGACCTAACCTGTACTTGCTATTTTTATACAGTAATGATACTGATGTTGAGAATAATTCTAGGTGCCCTTCAGTAAAAGAAAGACAAACCCAAACTAGTCATTTAAATATTTAGAAAATTCACCATATTTCAGTGTATCAATATTTTCTTCCATCCGTAAGGGCAGTTGCGTCAGGTGATTGGAAAGACAATTAATGACAAGTATGTTAAAACAGAAAACATCAGAAATGATTAATAAGAAGTCACAGTGCTTCTTGGGAAATGACCTTTGGACAAATGAGACAAAACTGGAGCTGTTTGTTCAGAGATGCTAAAATGAAGCTGATAAAGAAAGGAAGACTTCCTACTGTGAAACACTGGGTTTGGGGTTGGCTCTGTTTTGGGGCTGCTCTGCTGCATTTGGCTAGCCTGGCAAAGCCTGACTAAATAAATGTATTATTTAGTCTGGCAAGGCTCCGTTGACGGCTCTCATTCATGGGGCGGGTTCTACCGTTGTCTTTCAAACGATCTCCACATGCTACTGAACAATAAACACACTCAATAAACTCAACACAGTGGATGTCGGTAAACGAGGTGGTCCGCTGTTGAAGAAGGCAAAAATACATAATTTTTTCTAAAAAAAAAAAATAACTTAATACATCTATCTGCTCGTGATTCTAAATAAAGCCCAAGACCAAATAGTCCAAAATTGATGTAAAAGCTGTTTCAAACGAGCTGTCACCATCTTCTTCCACTCTGTTGTGTCATCCTGCCCACCAGACAAATAAAGGGACCTGATTGGCCCACAAGGTGGATAAAGCGCTGTGATTGGTTCACAAAACAGATGGAGTGCTGTGATTGGCCCACCATTATAGCACAATCACAGCTCTCTATGTGTTTGAAACCTCTCTAGAGAGCTGTGATTGGCAGCCAGAATGCTGCTAGTGGCTGCAGAGGTTCCAATGGAGCGTTCCTAGACCAAACTTTGCGAAGCAAGAATTTGGTCTAGTTCACTAGGCTAGCATTTGGCTGAAGGTGTCTTGAATCTGTTCTGAGTCCAATTACATTTCCAGATTATTTAGTTATTCTGGGGGTGCCACCCAGTTTCAGGAAGCTTGGTCTCAGTCCCAGGTCTTGGCTAAGAACCAATCTGAAGATGGTTCTGACCTTTGAAGCCCTGATCTAAGTCCTGTTGAATATCTGTGGAAGCATTTCCAACCTAGCCTAGAAATCTAGACGCACTGTAGCGATGGCAAAAAATACTTCTGTACAGGTTAGTCTAGCCACGCTCCATTGTAGCCTCAGCATGTCCATTGGCCAAACAATTTTAGGACAGGCCAGTCAAAGAGCTCGTTTGTGGGGAGACCTTAAGCAGGCTTAGCACCAGAGCTGCGACAGAGAAAAACTACGCAACAACGGCTCAGGAATTGCGCTTGTTTGAAACAACCTAGGCATGAACTTTGGGTGATTTAAGCCTGGGGCACACAGGAGGCAGATGTGCCGCGTTGTGCCTATGATTTTGAGGGGTCAAGTGATCAGACAGGACGTGTCGCGCCGCTGAGTGCTTCTTGGAAAGTCGCGCCATCTATTATCATCTATCTTGACATTGTGTTTTGTGAGACTGGAATTAATTAAAAATGGGTAAGCACACTATTTATTTGAATATTTTAACATCAATAGTACTTAAAATGTATCCAAACTGCGGCTGGGTGTGTGCCGGCGGTTGGGTTTTTGCCGTAAAGCCGTTCCGTGTTGTAAGGTCTGTTGTAAAGTACTCTGCAATGTTGTAAACAGCCGAGGCAGTGGTGGCACCGTGGCGCTTAAGATAGAACTTATGCCTAGCCTCGGAGACGTGGCGCTCCCCATGTACCTACTCTCATTAACTATAATGGCTTCTATTTAAAATGACAGCGTGGGCGTGATGAATCTGCCTCCGATGTGCCCTAGGCTCAAGATTTTTCTTTGAGACATGAGCAGATAGAGCTAATGAAGTCCTTTATTTAGAAAAATTATGTATTTGCTGCTCATTCTTTGACGGTGTTTGGACTGCCCCATGGACTGAAATTCCACAGTGATGAATATACCACATTGTTCGTTGCTCTGATTGGTCCTAGACAACCATATTTCGCCCCATGATGAGCTCTGTCTATGTGGAGTGGCCAGGCTGTACATTTACTTATATAGGATGACATGCAGTCTGAAAAAAAAAACAAAGCCTGAAACAGCAGGAGCAGTTTACTCACAAAAATGGTGACCGTATTACTAGTCCACAGGTACAGAATTAGCATGATTGTAAATACTAAACCCAAAAGCAATGCAACATTTTAGTTCAGAATGTTTTTAGTTAAAAAAAGTTAAAACGCAACAGCATTTGTAGATGATATCAAACCTTTGTTGGTTTGAAGTTATTTTTTTATCATTGTTTGCAAAAAAATAAAACTTTGAGTGTACCACAACTTTTTGTGTTTGAACAAATGTACTGGTACACTCACCAGCTAACCTTAATAAACCCAACAAGTTGTATAACAATTAAAGCATAATACTTTGATTGGGCTAAAGCTTGGTGTTAGTGCATTTTTTGTGCTCAAATGACAAAAACGTTAGAAAATTAAAGGGTTATATAAGGGTCAAACAAGGACTTTACAGCATGAACACGTTTTTGTGTTTGAGACATTTGCAAAGTTGTGTCTTGAAAAAGACAGAACCCCTTGGCTAGTTTCCAAGGGCAATCCTCACTCAACTGCACACGTGCTCCTGCAGCTGAAGGGGTTAATTCTGCTTGGGAAACGGCTATGATGACTGTGCCAGCCTGAAATTAAAAGTTCAGTCACCAGCTTGTCATCGTCGTTCACTTACCGGGTGCACCTGTAGAAATCCCATCATCCAGAGAAATGACAGGAGTCTTCCTGCAGCAGAGAGACAGAGCAGTCTTTGTTTGATTTCAGGCTGACGTCTCTCACCACTCGCCTCCTTCCGTTCTGAAACAACTCAGTGTGTAAAAACCAAAGATCACATCTGACTGTTTATTAAACTGCTGACAAACCTGTCTGGCTCTGTGATATTAGAGCAACATTAATGTCTATCTCAGTAATATTAGTAGTTTTATTGAGTTAATCATGCCAGACTCTATTAATGTCTTTAACTCACAGTGGGTGAGCTGTTTGGAAGTCAAAAAATGCATAGGGACATGTAAAAACTAAAAGGTCTTAATGCACATTTAGCATTTAGTGGAAAAATTTACACTGTTAGGTTCGTTCTGTGTTTTCCTGATACCATTTTATTTGGTTCTTTTTCTATGCACAGAGTCCTGGACGTAGTTTTGACTTTAGAAGTGTGTGTGTGTGTGTGTGTGTGTGTGTGTGTGTGTGTGTGTGTGTGTGTGTGTGTGTGTGTGTGTGTGTGTGTGTGTGTGTGTGTGTGTGTGTGTGTGTGTGTGTGTGTGTGTGTGTGTGTGTGTGTGTGTGTGTGTGTGGTGGTGGTGGTAATATGTAGAAAACTACAGCCTAGAGGCTCTTTTATGCAATGTCAGGAATGCAAAACTGCCAAGTGTACAGGTGGCAGGAATGGCCAGCCACACGTTAGCAAGTATCAGTAGAGCCAATAGATGAGTTTATGGACGGTTCTAATTAGAAACAGACTTCAACACAAGTGGTTGTTTTCTGCTTGGTCCTAGTGTCTATTTAATATAGTGTAATGTTGTTTGTGGACGGTAAAAAGTGCAGGAGACAAAAATTGACTTTGGAAAAAGTGTGTGTGTGTGTGTGTGTGTGTGTGTGTGTGTGTGTGTGTGTGTGTGAACTCACCGTGGGTGTGTGTGTGGGGGAGGGTTATACTGTAGTGGATTGTTGTTAAAAATAAATAGTTTAATTTGTATTCTTTTTATCCATATTTTAATTACTGATTCAAACTCTTTCCATCAGCCAAAGCTTGTCCCACTTTAAGTCGTTTAGGTGAATTATTGTGTTTGCAAATATTTTGGCTCTGATCCCTATTACATCATCCAGCTAACAAATGTACTGTGCTGTACAGTAACTGCCAAGCAGTTTTTTATTGGCCACCAGACCCTTAAGTGGATGACTAAGGCTGACTCGTACTTGTATATCCACTTAAATAGTAATTAGAACCAAAGAAACCAAAACGACATTTTACAGCTGACTATTTTCTCTTAGGGCTGGGAATTCATTATGTTATTATCTTAACTTCCTCATGGTGAAAGACCAAAGAATGGTCAAGTTATCCATAATGTCTGCTATTGTATAGGTTTAACGGCTAATTGGTTTAATCATTGTCTCACACACCCGTTTCTGCTCTGGTTCTATACCACAGTAAAGATTAAACCTCATTTTAAGAGCCTTTAAATTACAATGTGTATTTTTATCATTTAACTATGATTCACTTTTCATATTTTGTTTTGTACTAGTTTTAAAATCCAAGCTGAAGACCCATTTTTATGAACTGGCTTTTAAATCTGTGTGAGTGATTGACTGTGTTGCTTTTTTAGTCTCATTTTAAAATGTTTTTATTTGGTTGTGTTTTATTCACTTTTAGAGGATTTTATGTGTTATGTTTAAATCTGTGTCTGTGAAGCACTTCGGTGGCATGTAAGAGTCTGTAAGGTGCTATGTAAAGGTCGAGTCGACTATTCCATTGCACGTTTTTCTCCTGCACAAATATGAATGTAGTTTCTATGTTTGTACTAATTCAGATTTTGCAAATGCGTGTGCATTTACGCTATTGCTAGATTAGCTGGACCAAATCATATGAGTGTGTATCACTGCTTTAGATTCATGTTGAGTCAATTTAAAAGTAGTTTGTGTTTTACTTAAGATTTTCAATTCATTTATTTCTTCAAAGTAATTTTTGTTCATCCCTACAAGATTCCAACTCATTGCAAATGTAACTATTAGTTTCTTTTACAAACAAAGAAATGTAATGCACCATGTTTCAGAGTCCAACAGAAAAATGACCAAATATTCCCTCTACTTGAACAATCATGCATACCTTACTCACAAATCTGTAACCAAAGAAACAATTTAATTTGTTTTTTTTTTCTTCAATAGATTTGCAGTGATCCCTAGTATAAATGAATACCTTGTGAGTAAATTTGTATGGGAAAAACGCTCTGGTGCTCCTGCATCTCCACAAATAACAAAAGACTGAAGGAGTTCTACCATATGGTGTAAGTTGCTAAGGCTAACAGTTAGCTTCTAATTGCAGATAAGCGCTCTGCTCTCTTCTGGATGCTAAATCAACAACAGCCTTCTGTGTTGCAAGCCAAGATGGGTGAGTCAATGGATGCTAATTTTATAATATGACATGCAATTGTCTGGCTTTTCTAATCCAAGCATTTTCCATGTCAGGGGCCAATTCAGGCAATAGGGGTAGAAGAATATTTTCACATTTATCCCACATGTTAAACTCTGATGACCTGGCAAACCATCCTATATGTGTATCTATGTATGAGTGTATGAATATATATATATATATATATATATATATATATATATATATATATATATATATATATATATATATATATATATATATATATGCAGTTGACATCAATTTCCCTCTGGGATTAATAAAGTATTTTTGAATTGAATTGAATTGACTCAAATAAAAGCCCAAGTCATATAAATATGTAAATAGTCCAAAGTTGATGCCAAATCCATTTCAAACTATCGTCACCATCTTTGTTTTTTTTTTTTTTTTTTTTTTTGCTCAGTCGCAGTAACATCCCGCCCACCCACAGAGTGCTGTGATTAGCCTACAGAACCAATAGAGTGCTGTGATTGGACTACTACGGAGCTGTCGCCATCTTGGTTTTGCTCAGTTGCAATAACTTCCTGCACACCTGACTGAGGAAACCAATGGAGCACAGTGATTGGACTGTTATGGATGTCGGTGAACAGGGCAGTCTGCCATACATGGTCAAATAAGACGCAATCCAAACTCGGAGTGCAGTGATTGGCTCGGCACCAGATGGCTGGGGCTGAGGTTCCAATCGAGCATAACTAGATCATCTTCAGCTTTGGCAAAAAGATGGTCTAGATTCCTGGGCTGAAACTCACCGAGTGACCAATAAAATAAAAAAGAACTAAAAATGGGTTTTTGGTGATCTTGGTCTTTAACAAGTTTCGGCACCAACAGTCTAGTGCATTACATGCTAATGATAAGTGCATTATAAACTAATACAGGTGTAAATTAGAAGAAGAAGAATCATTTTCATAGTGCCTCTCAAGATAAAAATCACAAGGTGCTTCAGAAGAAAAAATCAAATTAAAAAATGTATACGCTTTTTAATAAATTAAGAAATGTAAAAATGAGAGGAAAAAAAGAGAAAATGCATAAGAAAGAAGTAATTGGTGCACCCTGGGAAAAGTGGAACAGGTAGAAAGAGCTGAATAAAAAGAGGGTTTAATATGTTATACCACCTTTAGGGCACACTCGACACCTGTCAGTTGATCGTTTCAGTTTATTTTCTTATTGTTTGATTGTGAATATTAGTGTTTGATCCTTTTTATTTAATTAGATTCTTGGTGTTTGATCTTTTGCTTCTACGTCTTGACTCTAAGCTAATAGATCCTATGTCCAGTGTGTGTGTCTAAATGGCAAATAAGATCTTCTATCTTATCTGAAAAATTGTTGCTGAGAAGAATATCACACAACCAATCAGAAAGGAATGAAATCATTTGCATCCTGAACTGGTCATTTTGTCTAATCTCCTAATCAGTCACTAATAACGGGGTGATGCACTTGTGTGGTAGCTGCTGCTTAGAAAGTGTTGCACATGGTTGTAGGAGAGCTTGTTACTGGTTTTGACTAAACATTTGGAACACAAAGTCTTATATCTCCATCTGGTCTTTAATTTAGTAATCATGTTAATAAAACATTTTTGTGTAAATCTAGTTTAAATATCAGCATCATCTTTTTCCTTTAAACAAAACAAAAAAAAGTAAAATAAAAACACCCCAAAATTCATAAAAAAATTGAGATCCTTTCTCAGATCATTGCTTTGACTTTTACTGAAGCTGGTGATCAGCTGCTGTGGTCTGGACCTCATCATTAGCCTCCAAAAGATTAAAAAGGTTCCCGTCCATCCAGAAGGAGCTTTGTTTCCCCTCATGTTCCTCTCTAAACAGGCAGCTAAATCACACACACACACCACTACCAGGTTGTTTCCCTGAAGGAAATCACAGCAAGCTGTTTTCTCTTTCTGTTTGTGAGATGGTTTTAAGTTATTTCACTCTATTACTAATGAAATGATCTCTCTCCTGACAGTGTCAGTTGGATGTGTTAGTATAACTATATAGTGGAGATATTTTTGTCATTGTTTCTGATCTAGGAGGTCTGACCTTTTCCCATTGGTGAATTATCTCCAAACTGAGCAGCTCTCACGCTGCTTAGTCTCAGAGGAGCTGTCTCTCTATGTCAGAGGAGTTTAACGCACCCTTTATCCTGTCTGCAGTGGCGTGGGGCCGGAGGCAGACCACCTTTTATAGGTCATGTGATACGTGGGTCATCTCGAGGCCCACCCAGCAGATCACTGGGATCAAACGGTCTTTCACTAGCTCTTTGAATCTGTGATTTATATGTGCCTGAAGGCAGTAGCGCTTCCATGGTTACACATACAGTACAAATAAGTTTTGAATGACGTTTTTGTGTTGATCGTTAGCACCTTTGTTTTCGTCTCATGCCGAGGGTGATTTTCATGTTTTTTCTGTTACCCTAAGCTGTAAGATGAGAAATTAATTCAAGTAGACAACCCGTTGCTCCCAGCCTTCCTGTTCCATCTTATCTCCTTCTTGCCCCTTTTTCTCTGTTCAGACCAGTCCAGCCTTGCAGGGGACATATGCAACATGGGTAACTGTTTCTGGGCTCCAAGATGATTGCAATGCACACAGACATGGAAGAGAGGCATCTACGACTTTTTGCAAGAGCCCCCAGGCCTCTGGCTTTTATTTCCGAGGCTTTTCACCTCTGCTTTGCCTGCTGCCTCTCAGCTGGCTTCAGACAAAGATAATGATTCTGAACGACGAGTCTTCCTCACCACTGTGCACCGAAATGTTCTCCATCATTGATTTAGTCTACATGTTCTGCACGTCTATAACTCTTATTATTATCTAAGATGTAGTTGCAGCACAAACCTGTTATAAAATGCATACATTTATTTGATCATTGGTTTATTTGTACAAAGATGTTTAACTTGAAGTGAAATATCCATTTATCACAATGCGTCTAAATATCCAATATATGGAATTTTAATGACTTTTGTCCAGTAAGCCCTTTGGTAATACTCGAATGTTCTTCATTTAGTTGTGAGAGTTTGGTGAAATATATATTTTCAAATCTGGTGATTTCTTGTCTCACCAGACATTCTCTAAAGATAGATATTTGGATGATTTGAAGTGTATCCCAGTCAGATGATTGTTAAGCATTATTTAGTCAACCTTCCTACTTCTTTAAATTAACTAGAAACAAAAACTGAGATACTTTATTAATAAAGAATTGCTATTAAGACAGTTATCACCATTCAGACACCTAGGGACACAGATGTTGACATCTAGGCATTTTTACATGGTTTGTAAACCAAATGTTACATAAGTTTGTTGATGGTTTGATTAAAAAAAAACATTATTTTGAAACTAGAGATGCCACTTGGAGAATCTAGACAATTTGGCTACCACGCACTTCCACCCGCACGCGCACTCACAGTGTGTGTGGTTAAGCCCTCCTACATGTTTAGCTGCAACCAATCATGGTGATCGTATCATCGATGAACTGGTCCGTCACCTCCCACAACCAGAGCTCCCAGTCAGTCTTTGCCTCTCTGCTGAGAGTCTGATGGGTTATTCGCCTCCACGAACTGATCAGTGTTGACAGATGAACACGTTAATTCATGTGTTCTTAAACCATCATAAACACCATTAAGGCGTGTTTAGTCATTTTTTGCGCGTATCATGCGCATCTATTTGAGCGGCTCAGTTGAATGGAGGAGAAACGGACCTTTCAGTCTTTGGCTGTTGGAACAAACAGTTTTAACTCAAAAGATAAATAAAGAATAAACCAGAGAAAGGTCCGCGCCCTGTTTCCAAACAGTAAGGACGAGGACATTTGCAGGCATAAAACTGTTTGAATCACTGGTTTGCGTTGCGCTTCTTGTGTAAAATGAACAGACGGAGTCCTTATCTACAAATAATAAAAAATAAATAAACACCATTTAAAACGGAGCCACCTGATTGGACGAGGAGCGCATCTCGGGCACATGGCCAAATTAAGTTTTTCCCCTCCTCCAGAAGGTGCCTCATTCACTTTTTAAGCGGGCCCCTCCTCTCTGACTGACTACCAGCGTGAGTTAGCCAAATCCCGCAGTTTCACACAAACACTTCGGGGAGTCTGGGGCTCCGTTCATAAGTTGGATGTCACTGGAGGAGAGTTCTGCCATCCTGCAGCATCAGTGAGCAAAGCGCCGGGAAGGAACGCGGTTCTGCATCAATCTGGAGTGGCCCTGTCGAAACGCAGGTTTACGCACGCATGTTGCGCACTGGGAATAACTGGGTGTTAGGACTCGTGTGAATATTTACTTATTTTATGGAGAAAATTCACATTTAAATCGTAAGTATTCATTTTATTTCATTTCTTCTATTTATACCCAGTCGTTGGAACGTTATGCTGTTCTAATGTAACTAATCTCTGCGTGATGTTCTTCTCCGCATGTAACACTTTGTTGTGTTAGTAAGCACACGCCTGATAATGAAGCGAATCAGTTTGTGTAAACCCATTTATCAGATTGCAAATAACACACCCGGTGATGCGTGCTGTCCCCAGAATACTTGCAGTATCTGTCCCGCTGCTTATATAGAACAGAAAATTAGGAAACTTATCCAAACCTGCTCAAAAGTTCCTCCACTGGTTTGTTTTTTGTATTTTATTATTTTTGAACAATCAGAGCATCATGATGTCATGATTTCTTCTAGACAGATGCAACTTTTTTTCACACTTAATAAGAAAGTGACATCAACAATCAGTAAATGACGCTGAAATCCTTTTATCCTTCACAGTTAGGAACTTCTGCGTCTAGGGCAACTGGATCTAAAAATCTGCAACCAATTATCTTCCTGTGTGATGCTGACTTTGGTGATCTCATTTAAGGAGTCTCGTTGTGATTTCCTGGAGAGGGTTCATGACCAAACAAAACCAAACATTTTAAACTTCAAGACCTTCTCTTGATTCATTATCAGATGATAATTTAAAACTGGTTGTTGCTAATTGCCTTTGATAGAGCTCCCATAGTGTTGATCTCCCGCTGAGACCCATGTTGATGTTTATACAGTGGGGTGCTAATGAGTACAGGGGGTTCATGGCTCCTGTCTCCAGAAACTCCTCAAGTTTGACCCCACAGGGAGATTTAACCCTCCCAACTCCACATATGTTCACTGAAAACAAGAGATTGTGTCAGTAGCACTTTCTAAGGGAGATAAGAGTTAAAATAGAACAAATAAGTGAACCAATATCTTTTTACTGCATATATTACATTTTCTGCTGCTTTATTCATTCTTGTAGTATGGTATCAAATATATTTTTTTTTATTCCAAAAATAATATGCGTGAGTAACGTCAGCCTGATGCTTGAGTTGTTCCCTAAAAATGCTTTTTCTTTTTTTTCCCCCAACAGATGATTCTAAATATTAAGCACATTCTGTGGCTGTGTTACTATCTCTGTGAAGTTGCAACAGGCAAGGGCTCACCACACACACACACACACACACACACACACACACACACACACACACACACACACACACACACTGCATCTTGCAGTATTTTTCAGCACAAAGTAAAAGTGGCATTAGCTTTATTCACCCCGTTTCTCATCAGCAGTACCCCATACCTCTGCCACAACCCCCACCCTCCACCCGCTCTATCTCATGGTATAGACACCTTTCAATTAGCTGGAGCTCCCAGTCTGCAGGCTGAACAGCTGTTTTTATTGCACATGCTAATAAGACCCCCTGTTAAAGCACATAGGCTCATGCCTCTGGGGCTGTCCCACCAGTCTCCTAAGCATGCCACATTGTTTCCTGCAAACGCCCCCCTCTACATCCCTTCCCCCACCTACAGCTACGAAAAAAAAACTTTTCAAAAAAGTACTTTTGTTCTTCTTCAATCAGATTCAACCTGACCTAATTTGTGTGGATTCCACATGGTCCTGCTGCATAAAAGAGAGATTATTTGAGAGAGAACATGAACTTAAGTAGAGTCATTATGCACTGATGCAACCATCATCCTTTTTTTAACCAATAATTTTAACTTCATACAGACATGCCGTACATAGACTACACCGTGCAGTAAATGTGCTCCCACACCCAGTATTTTAAGGATGAGGTTCAACTTTCCAAGAGCCACTCTCAAATCATGATGCATGTTTTCTTATTAGGCTGGGTTTAGTCGTCCCACCCTATCAACACTAATGAGTCAGGCAGTTTATACTTTAGCGTCCGCTTACATGTGTTTGGAGGGATCTGAAATGTTATGTTTTTGGATGAAAGGGAAATGAACAAAGAGGGTGGTGTTGAAATGTAAAATTAATAACTGGAGATGTTTTTAACTCTTTTTGTTCTCCCGTTTGTTTTTATTTCAGCATCCAGCTCATTAACAATAATCAAACCAGTCACTGGGGTCCTCTCAGGGAAAGTGAATCTTCCATGCTTCTTCTCAACAATCCCAACCTCAAATCCAGCCGTCAGTCCCATTGGATTGATTTCCAGCCAAGATTTCTTGCGGATTAAATGGGTCAAAATAGTGGGAGGTGTTCAGTCTACAGTGTTGGTGGCACAAAATGGAGTCATCAAAATCGGCTCGAGCTACAGGAACCGCGTATCGGTGCCCAGTCATCCCGAGGTTGTCGGTGACGCCTCGCTGACTATGGTCAAGCTACGTGCCAGCGATGCTGGCACCTACCTGTGCGAGGTCATGTATGGAATCGCCGACACCCGGGATACAGTTGACCTCGACATCAGTGGTAAGATCCCCCCCACCTCATCCTGGCATTAGACCAAAAACATGAAAATTGCAGAGAAGGAATGGTGCAAAGGCTTGATAAAAGGGACATTTTATACCAGTGCTGATAGAAATGTAAACGGCATGAAGGAACTATTGGCGCCATTCTGCTTCTCACTTTGATAGCTGCAGCTACCCAGTATTTACAGAGTAACCACAACTTTCAGTCGATCTTATTGTAGAGGTGATGCTGGTTAGAAAGAGAAAGAAATGAAACTTTGAGTCCTTGTTAAGTCAACTCTTTTGATTTTGTTCATGTGTTCATCCAATTTTTCACTTGGTAGAAGTCAGACATTCAATATATTCCATGACACATTTCCCTTTTTGTGGAGCTTTAAAGCGAATGATCAATTATTCTCTTCCATATGACCAAAAATCAATATTCTACCTAATCATGAAAATAAAATTGTGAAGGTACTCATTATCAGTTGTCACATTTTGTCATTGTTTGTTTTGGATATGCGATCACTTAAGCATTGTGAGAGACAACTGTTGTTGAAAGCATGGGGGGGGGGGGGGGGGGGGGGGGGAGGGACTGGGATACTTTTGGTTTACAATCTGAACAACCTCTTTTCCAACAATCTGCAATGTTAATTGAGACCATCAATCAAATGTTTTGCGTCTGTTTACTCTCCACAAATATGGGGATTTCAGGGCCATGGCATCATATTGCACTTATCTTGTTCATTTGCGGTAAACTGTGGAGTATTTCACATATCCTCTTGGTTTATTGCAAAGCTCCTCCTTTCCAAAGACGCTGAGAGGCTCATTTATTTCATGCTTAGAGTGTGCTGTACAAGACACTTGCCATAATTTACCACTCTGAAATTATGCTGATGAATTCCAGATGACTTTCTCCCTCTTTACAGACATTTCATTATGTCTAATCTTTGGACAATATTTTGTTTGTGTCACCAGGTGTTGTTTTTCATTATCGGCCTAACACCGGCAGGTACGCTTTGAATTACCAGGAGGCTGTCAAAACTTGTCAAAACATCGGGGCAACCATTGCCACCTACGGGCAACTCAGAGCAGCCTATGAGGATGGCTATGACCAATGCGATGCTGGGTGGCTGTCTGACCAGACAGTGAGGTTAGTTTTGTTGTTCATTATTTTAATGCCTCCACGGTAACACCTACTTGTGATGACCTCAACACAAAAAGACTCTGAACTTTACAATAGTATTTATTCATTTTCTATAGATATCCAATAACAAGACCCAGAGATCGTTGCCATGGAGATCTTCCGGGTAAACCCGGTATTAGGTCATATGGAGTCAGGGATCCCCTGGAGACCTATGACGTATACTGCTATGTAGACAGACTTGATGGTAAGCAATGTTGTCGTTTAAAAGGCAATGACACAAACTTCACACTTACTAACCCTCTAACATTTGGAAAAATATGATCATTTTTATTGCATGGCTGAAATGGTTTTTCTTAGGCTGTCAACCAGAAATGTCATTAATAGGCTTTTGCTGCACAGATTATAGGAGATTCTCTCTTAGTCCATTTTCTTTCTGCTTGAGTTATACCCTTCTTAGAGTATTTAAGATAACTACCCTCCATCTTTCCTCAATTAGATAAAAAATTTCTCTTGTCCATCAGTGTTAGAGTTTGTTTATTTATTTGTGTCAATAGATATTATATTTAAACTTTAAATTAACATCCTGGGCTGACAGTGGGGAACGTCTGGGAGTGTCGTCATTTATTTCTAAGGACATGAACTGACAGTGTGTGCTTGTAGAAACCACACCACTAGCCTATTTATTAGTGTCTGGATGCTATTGTTGTTTCAGATATCTGCCTAAACCCAGAACAGAACTTTGAATCAACGTTTGTCCCATTTAACTATTATCAAGGTCCTATTGCAAGGTTAAACAGAAATGTTTAAGAAAAAAAAATGTTTAGAATTTATTACAAATACTTTCTGAAAGAAAATTTCAGAACTACAGTGGAGAAAAAAAGTATTTAGCTGGCCTCCAACTCTTCTAGTTCTCCCACTTAAAGACGAGAGAGGCCTGCAATTTTCATCATAGGTATACCTCAACTGTGAAAGACACAATGAAAAAAATCAAAAAAATCCAGAAAATCTCATTGACTGATTTTTAAAGAATTATTTGCAAATGATGGTGAAAATCTGTGAATATTTAGAGAAAACATTTGACCTCTGTTATTCCCAACAAGGTATATAACCAAGTATTGAGATGATCAAATATTTTTTTCACCATAATTTGCAAATGAATTATTTCATAATGAGACAATGTGATTTTCTGGATTTGTTTTCTCATTTTGTCTCATAGTTGAGGTATGCCTATGATGAAAATTACAGGCCTCATATTTTTAAGTAGGAGAGCTTGCACAGTTGGAGGCTGACTAAATACTTTGCTGCCCCACTGTATACTCCTCATGACTATACTTGTTGCTATTTTGTTTCTTTCTTTGCCATTGTTATCCATTTGTAATTACATGTTTACCCTACAATTTAGGTGAAGTCTTCTTTGCTCCTGGGGGACACAAGATGACATTTGACCAAGCCCGTGAAGAGTGTGCAAAACACAATGCTGTCTTGGCAAACACTGGCCACTTGCACGCTGCATGGAGAAAGGGGCTGGACAGATGTGACTATGGCTGGCTCTCTGATGGCAGTGTACGGCATCCTATTGCAGTGGCAAGGCATAAGTGCGGAGGAGGCCTTCTAGGTGTCAGGACCATGTATCGCTTCAGTAACCAAACCGGCTTTCCACGTCCTACTAGGAAGTTTGGGGCTTACTGTTTTAATGGTAACATTTTTGTCCTAATTTCACCATTTAACACATTTTAACGAGACATTATACCCACTCCAAAACTCTCGACTAAGCTTTAGATTTGATTGAGACTTACTTTGGTCATCTAGAATCATTTACTACACAGCAACTGTTGCCACACTAAGTAATGTTTATGCACTGCTATTAAAATGTTCCCATAGTGCCTTTACTTACCAAATAATGAGAAGTATCATATTTAATCAGAATAAAAAGCACCATTAAAATTCAGATTAGCCTAAATTAAAGTACTGGTGAGTGAAGGTGAGTTCAATAGTGATAAGATTTTATGGTACTACTTTAGAATAAAGCTCCCTTAGTAACTGGCTAATAAATAGTATATAAATATGTTATAAAAACTGCACACTTTAAGAGTGTTTATTATGCATTAAGTAAGGGCAAGAATGAGAGAAAACGGACCTTTCTTTTTGCCAAATAGTGAGCCAAATCTGTTTACCTATGTATTTCATCTAGAGATACTTTATTAAACATTTCGGATTAAGTTACTAATTAATAAACACAACAAAAGTTTGTAAACATCATTTTTTAGCATATACTATTGTCCTTTATCACTATTATAAACATCTATAGCTAAAAAAAGAGTCCTATTATAGGTGCAAAACATTAAACTATTCTTTATGCTGGCCACATGTTTATTTAACTGTTGATAACATGAAAACAAATAAAACGTAATAGTTTGTTTTCCAACTTCCAAGTATCAGTGCATGATTTGAAGCTGAAGTTGGGTGGAGAAAGGGTAAGACTTTCATCTCGGCTTGGTGCCTGATGCAGACATATTTTGCACGTTTGAAAGGCTCACTGAAATAGTCAAACATTTTAGTGTCAAAAAGTGCTGTTTACTTTATATAGTCTGGTATAGATCTACACAATTTTTTTGCATGTGCTAGGTCACGAGTTGTCATTTGTAAAAGAACAGACAGGGATTGTGGGCCGAGGCCGTTCCCTGACCAGGCCCAACTGTAAGAAGCTATGAGCTCATCTTCTGGGCTTATTCACTTCTGCTTCCACACCCTTTGATTTTCTGCCTCTTGACAACACAGTATAATTCCCCAGATTTGACACAAAGCGAGTGCTTACAATTGCAGCTGCTTATTTATCATTTTTTTCCCTTTCAGTCTTTATTTTTTGTTTTAAATCTTACTATCTGAAATTTTCTCTAACAAAACTTGTGAGCAAAGTAGAAGGGTCATTTCTCTCCTGATGGCTATGTGCCAGACCACTCTGTCCAGTTGACCTCACTGTCTCACATTTTTTGTCTCACATCCATTTCTGTCAACAAAACTAGGAAAATGTTGACTTAAATTATTGTGGTATTCATACATTTCCCCCCCCCCCCCCCCCAAAAAAAAAGCAAAGTGTTATACTGTTGCAAATGTTGCCAAATTTTAAATAAGATTTAAATTTTAAGATAAATCTAGAGTACATATTATGCAAAACTCCATTTTTACCTGTGTTGGGGGTCTTTCCTGCTTCTATAAACATCTAAAACTAAAAAAAAGAAAAAACATCCATCCTGTTTTTGTCAGTGTATTGTTTAAACAATTATGTGCCTAAAATGAGCCGTTTCAAAAAGTCCCTGTTTGTGCCCTGAAACAGCTTCTGGAAGTACAGGAACTGTTGATAATAAAATAGCTGAAATTGCTTTATTGTTGAGAAATTTAGTGCAACCAACTTCATAAATATGTTTTTGCATTGACCCTACAACTGTTATAACTTAAGAAAAAAGTCATTATATATTTCCTTTCAATCATAAGAAAACTGAAACTTGATGCTTAATGAATTGATCATGGTGTTTGAATTCATTTACTTGATGCGTCACTGACCCCTTTGGTGTACAGATGCAAACTACAATAATTTTGATGGCAAAAAACAAGTGCAGCAATGTTTTTATGAATAGAAACACTGATAACCTAAATGTTAGCATAATTAGAATAATGCCTCCACATGTGATTTTTTTTTCAACGTACCAATTTTCCCATGGCAACACCGAACAACAAATGATAGTTTCCATTTAAGAAAGCAGCAAAAGTTCCTAATGCCACACCTCAAAGCCTTTTTAGTCCCACCATCTGCGTCTTTCCCCTAATTTCCGCTGTCAGTTTTGCCTCTGTCATTCTCACTTGTACTTATCTGAGCAGACGTTTGGATAATGGACAAAAGCTACTGCTGGACTTCTAAATTCAGTCATCCCTGGCGACCTCTGACATGGCCTTTCCATCTTTACAAATGAGAGGTTGGAAAGATAAGCTGACCACTGCCTGGTAGTTTTCTGCCCCTTGGGCCATGCTGACTCTTGCAGTGATAAGTCGACACGGAGTTCAGAGGGCACACAAGCATGCCACAGTCACCTCCTGCTCTGTGTATGTCATGTCAGCCCTCTCAGTCTGGTTGTATTTACACCTTGGTGTAAGTGCTCTTTAAGTACGCCTTTCTGGAGGGGCTCCATCATTTCCTGCTTTCCGGCTAGCAATAGTGTCTTAAAATATATTGTCTAAACCACCGTCACCTAAATTTCACAGAAACACAAGGAGATAAGAGCTGGACGCAGAGAGGAAAAGGAAGATTACTGCTTTTGATGAATAATTCCATACTTAGGCCTGAATTTTCTAATAAGGAGAAAAGCATGTCTCACTCCTTACAGCACAGGTACTGTAGTTTAATGGGGTATGCTCTTTTGTCCATAATGGTCAACAGCTGCCTTTATGTAGTGAGTCCATGCCACCAAGAAAGGCTTTATACTGGTTTTTATTGGTGTTAGTAAATGGAAGAGCAATCAAAGACAGATGGGAAAGAATGTAAAGGAACACTTCCGAGGAGTTGAAAGACCTTGTTAATGAAATCATATAAATAAATAGAATAAAAAAATCTGAAGATAAACCTACCTGGAGAACTTTAAATGGTCACTGAGATAACAAAAAGATAATCAGCGATGAACTGCATTAGATATGGTAATAAAGAACAAAACATGTGACAATAGCTTTCAACCACAACACTAGATTTCTTAAAGTTTATACTGTTTGGCTTCTTTGTTATGGTCATGGAAAGCTTTCAGGCAGATAAGGAAATGTTTGGAGAAACATTCAAAGAGCACATTAGAGAAAGAACATTGAAACAATGACCTCATTTGCTTCAAATGCCCAGTTTGTTATATAGAAGTGAAATACCTTCAAACTAATTAGGAATTCTGTCACTCGTGTAAGTAAATGTGCATGCATACTCTGATCTGTGGCATTAGCTCTGTGTCTTTGAGCACTTCTTACATGGAGTTATAAAAACATTAGGAGTGAGGTCGGATACTGTGGCACTAAAGAATAGTTGATAGGGTGTGACATCTAAACTCAAGTTAAACTGAATTTCCAAATCACGTGCTGATGATCTTTATTAAAAAAGTTGTATTTTGCTAAGGTGTGAATGAGAAAAGGGAGCTAAACACATGTCCATGATTCAAAAACAGAAAATATTAGGCTTGAATGTACCCATCTCCAGTGGTCAGTGGGCCAATGATGAGGTACTCCCAGGACAGGTTGTCAGTCTATCACAATGTTTGAAAAAATTATTTTGATAACTGTCATCTGAATCAAAAATATATATATTTTACGGAGTCTAATTTTCTTGTCTTTTGTGTTTGTTGTTGTGTGGGATGTTTAGGAAGATTCAACATATTCACCCAGATAGCCTTCGTGGATGTGTTTTTGAAAAAGACCACCACCCCCGCCATCATCAGGTCAACGACTTTGACTCCTTTACTTAAAAGTAGCGCCACTGTGACCACCATGTCACCTGATGGATTACCAGAGACAGAAGTTGCTCCAGACTCTGAACTTTCAACCAAACCTCAATTTATGTTCTCCACCTGTATGGTTCCACCTCGACCCACTACTGCAGACCTTGAAGCAGAGCTGATCACGGCAGTAGCCCCCACAATCAAGGAAGAACCAGAGGATTTCGATAATGGAACAGATCCACCATTGTTTGAAAGTTTTTTTCCTGATGACTCTGACCCTGAGGAACCTCCTGGTGATGTGATCACAAATCCACACATCACAGCAGATATCACTGATTCTACAGCGTCTGATCCAGATGACCACTCAGTGATTGAGATCAGCACTATTCAACCTGATGTACCAATGCCAGGTGCTTCTCTAAGCACAAAGACCATGTTTGCTATAGGTAATACAGAAAAGACCATTCCGGATTCTAAGATTGCCACATCAGTTATCCACGATCTCACAAATACTCTTACAGAATTCAGTGAATCAATACCTACGGAAAAGTTGGGCATCTCAGAAACAACACTGTCAACTGCAACTCCTAGTTTTGAATCAACAACACCATTCCTAGATTATGAGGGGATTGGGAATAATGTGAAAGTTGAGGGTTTACCACCAACCCAGAAAGAAGATATTTCATCCAGTAGATCAGACAGCAACGGTATTAGTACTACTGTGGAAACAACAACATCTCCTTCCACCAGCACAATCTTTACACTTGTAACAAAGACAAGAACCACAGAAACAACAGAATCCACTGACACTAGAAAACAAACTACACCTAAAACACAGGGTGCCATCTCTCTTGCCAAATCTGTAACTCCTGGAGCTGATGGCAGTAAGGTTGACAGAACTGCAGCTCAACGTGCAACATCACCAGAACTTACCGATGATTCCCTGATTGGGGGCGATGCAGCAGCAAATACTGAGACAAAGTCATCGATGTCCACTTCTTCGGCATCAGCTGTCCCCGACATTCGCACTTCTCCAGCTGCAGTGGTCACTGAGGGGCAGCCCCGGCAAACAAGTACCATCATCCAGAGCCAGAATGCTTCAGGTAGGAAATTTCATGCCTTAAAGTTTTTGATGCTGGTTTTGGATTCTGATTGTTCTTCTAAGGTGTTTTATTACCATCCGTAACTGTCTTTGACTTCCAAACAAATTAAGAGTGATAAACAGCTAGGTTTAATTCTGGTTTAGTGTCATAACTTGTCTCATCTGATCATATTTTATGAGAGTTACAATCACCATAGATTGTGAAACACAAGCAGTTGTGACTTGCTTGAACTTATTATGGATTGTATGTATGTAGCATGAGTCAAATTATTTATGATCGATCAGGATCACTTGATTTTCTTTTGGTCTCTGGCTCACATTTGCATCAATCAGTCATAGCATAATGACTGCCAGACTAAGACTGAGTAGGCCTCTCTTGTGCCACAAAAACAGCTCTGACTTGTCAGGGCATGGACACAGAACATCTGGAGGTTCCCTGGGGTCTCTGGTAATGGGATGTTAGCAAAAGGTCCTTTGGGCTCTGTGGCTTGTGGGGTGGAGTTTCTGTTTATTGGGTTTGCTTTCCACAGATGCCGTCAGATCTGATCAGATTAGCATTTTATGAGTTATGAATTGAGGTGAACAACTCAGACTCAGAAGTCCACTAAGGTTTTGGTGACATTTGTAAATATATTAGGAAATTGATGTTATGACTGTTGGGCACATTCCTTCATTGTTATTTCACAGTGGACTGATGAAGCATCCCTTGTGACTCTGAAATACATCATTGTAACTCCTGTTTCTTTAACGTGCTCTCTTTCCCCAAGGAGTTTATCGGTCAGTTTGCTCAAAAAAAAAAAAAACACGCCTGGCTTTTATCACAAATGCACAACTCACTTGGCTAGCATAGAGGTTGATAGAACAGGGTTTTTATTTATTTGGCAGACACTTTTATCCAAAGCGACTTACAATTTATAACCTGTAGGGCATGTTGTGATCTGTGGGGGAAACCGGAGTACCCGGAGGAAACCCACGCATGCATGGGGAGAACACGCAACTCCACGCAGAAAGGCCGCAGCCAAGTTTCGAACCTGCTAACAACTGCGCCACCATGCAGCCCAATTTTGACAAAATTGTCCTTAGGTGTAAGTGTGTGTGTGTGTGTGTGAGTGTTTGTCCTGTATGTCTCTGTGTTGGTCTGCGATGGACTGGCTCTCTGTCCAGGGTGTACCTCGCCAGATTGCCCATTGACTGCTGGAGATAGGCACCAGCAACCCCCTGGATGGATAGATGGATGTTTCAACAGACATTTTCACAAGTCTACAATAGGTTCGCGTTTTTAAATAAGCTGGAGAGGGAACTCTTTGGAGCCCGAGCATAGCCTCTACAAAAACCACTTGTTTCTTATGGGCTCGACACACGGGAGGCGACATCGCCTCTCCTCCATTCATTTTCAATGAGACATGCGCGACAAAGCGATAATCGCGGGTCTCCCTCCTACTAAGTGAAACGCGAAAAACGTGCGTGTGAAATTTTGCACTCGTGCAAGTGTCGTGCACAGGCGACCCAGTGACGCGATCCCAGAAAGTTGAAATATTTTTAACTTTTCATAACTTAATTTTGGCGATTTGTGGCGCAGGTCTTGTCCTTCTAAGTTGTTGGACAAAATGCATTTGTGTCAGCTGGTGTTAGGTTCAAAGGGGTGAGCTGAAATAACCAATTATTAGTTTAATGGCTTTAAGTACATCAAATTGTGCAGTACAACACCCTTGTGCATTCTGTCTTTTAAATCCCACCGCTACCTGAGTCTGAGCAGCTGATTGACAGCCAGCCTGGCCACAGCAGGAGTGTGTTGGCAGTCCACCACAGAAAGCACAGATGTCTGTCTGTAGCTTAGACTGGACACCACCTCATGAGGTGATGTCATTGCTCACTCACATATTCTCCCCTTTCCGCCAGGACAGCTGGAGGCTCTCTGACCAAAGCAGGTGATTACAGCCACTTTTACTGCTACATCACGTGCTCAACTGAGAAACCCTGCATGTCCTTTTTTGCCCCACCCCCACCCACTGTGCGTGAGAAAAGCTTGTGGAAAATCTTGTGGCATTGGGAGAAGTGTGTTGTCTGTCTGGAGAGAAACTAAATGTACTCTAATATCAGAGTGCAAAACAAAAAATAATCAGTGAATGCTTTCTTATTGTTGCTCAAAAGCTTGTTGTGTTGTGAACTGTGTGCATCTGTTTCTGATGAATTGTTGACAGTTAAATTCACAGTTTACCAAGTGTTTAGCTGACACATTGTGACTTGGTGAATTATTGATGTCTGAGGCATGTCAAACACAAATGTCACAAACTAATTCACAGAACCACCAATGGTGCATTTTTGAAACGTAACATTAACTGCCAAGGCTTGAAAATTTTAGGAAATCTGCTCACTTTCCTTGAGTGAATGTTGACAAGATGAGGTTGAGCAATCTGTTTATTAAATGCATGATCACGTAAGCAAGCAAGCAAAATGTTAAAACTGTCTGTAGGCCCATTTCATGAGAGACTATTTGCATTTTGATTTGCATAAATAACAAAAGCAGAATTATTATTATCATGCTAGTTATTATTATGATTATTATTATGATGATGATTATTATTATTATTACTGTTAATTGCCAGTTACAAGTCTCACCGAAAACAAAATACATTTTTCAAAAGTGACCAAGCCAGAAAAGAGGTTAGAAAAAGTTTAAGAAACACATTTGAGAGTATCGTTAATTTACTTTTGACAGCATTTAATGACAACAGCAGGGTAAAACTAGAGATATTTTAATGCTTAATCAGAATCAGAAATATTTTATTGTCTCTGCATGAGAAGGAAATGAAATTGAAAGGCACTCAAATGGTGCTTGTGGCATACAGATGAAAGAAACTACCAACTTATGTGAAGAAAGGAAAGGTAATTATAGAAATATATGCATAAAATAAATCCTTTCTGGATGCAATGATGTGCACAAAGCTTTGAAGCAACAGTAATGTTATTCAAGTGTTAATGGATTTATTGTACTGATGACTGTTTAAGAGCATGTTTTTAATTTATTGTCCTAGAGCTGAGCAATATGGCTAAATTCAATATCACGATATATTGAGGATTTCACCTTGATAACGATTAATGGACGATGACTACAGGTATGCGCAGAAACAAAAGTTGTCCACTAGATGGGGCTGTCACATGTATCACGTTGAGTCACTTTTTTACGTGACTGAAGAGGGACATGAATGTTGCCAACCCACACACATCTTTTGATTTTTTTACTGTCAAATTTATTGACATGGGAAAAAGAATCTCGATAAGAGTCAGAATTTTTGATAACGGTACATTTTCAATTTATTGCCCAGCCCTACATTGTTCTGATTGCTGTAGGGAAGAAACTGCCCTCGGTTGGCTGGTTTTAACTTTTGAGGCTTTGCAGTATGTTGTGTTTTTTTCCTGAACTCCAGAATACATTTATTTGTTTTTGAGGTGGACATGTGTTTAGGCCATCAACGGTTTAGGCTAGTGATTGGTTGTTTTCAGAGCAACCCATTGATCATTTCTGGACATCGTTTCGGTCTGTAGACTCATCTTCCTCTGAGATGAGCCCAATAATGGTCGTGTCATCTGTGAATTGAATGATTTTTGTTAAGTGAGCCAGTGGGCAATTATGGGTGTACAGATTGTAGAGGACAGGATTAACACACAGCTCTGCAGGAAACCGCTGCAGAGTGATGGGGGGAGGTGTAGGGCCCAGTTCCGACTCTGCCTTCGGTGAGGAAGTCTTTGATCCGCAAGCAGGTGGGGAAAGGCAGGCCCAGCATCAGCAATTTATCAATTAAAATGTCCACTAATACAAACAATAGGTGATTGTATCATCTGCATAAAAATGGAACTAAACATTTGAAAAACTATTATTAAAGTGACAATGTATAGTTTTTACCATGAATCTCTGGAAATATTCAGTGCAGTGTTGTTGTAAATTCATTAAAAGATACCCAGTTGTTGAAAAATATTGGAAGTTTCATGAGATATAACCATAAAAAGTGTGTCTAAAATACATGGGAGCAGGTCTAAGTCTCTGGGCGATGCCATATTTGATGCCATGTTTCCATCTACGGAAGCCCGTGAGGACAGAATGCATTTACTGATTTGTAACAAATGGTTACTAAACTTCAAACATTAATAAACATTGTTTCTTCACACATTTACCTCTTCACTCATTGCCAGTGATGAAAGGGAATCTGATGTTCTTGTTATTTTGCTAGAGGTTGCACTTTTGACTCCAGTGGCCATCCATTGGTAAAGTCTTACTTGAACACAAAAATAATGCTGGCTTGCAAAGATTTAGGTATCTACTCCCCCAGGGAAAATACACACTGTGACTTTCAGATTATCTGTTTAGCAAATGAAGAGCAGTTGGCATAATATGGAGCCCTGAGGTACTCCTTTGGTAATTTGAAGAAATGAAGAAAACATTGGAGTCAACTGAACTTATAGTCTTCAAAAGAGGTGCACAGCTGCTTTTGTAATACACTGAATCAAATATGTAATATGCAACATTAATATGAGTACAGTTATTGTTCTGTTTTATCCTGAACTTATCTTGTTTTTTATCCTGAATGCTTGGCAATAAAGGTCGACCGATATTGGTTTTGCTATTGTCAATAACAATGCTGATATGTAGGAGACATTATCAGCCTCTGACCAAAATGTACTGCGGCTTTTCATGGGCTGATTTTCATGGCCGATACCCAGACGTTTTCCATCTAGCATATTTTCATGCTAAAATATCACTAATAACATCAGATGATGCACAGAATTTCTGAAGCTGAATCAGGTTTTGAACTCTGAAATTATCTAGCTGTTAAATCTTAACTTTGTGCACTGCTTAGTGTTAGAGTCAGACACCTAAATAAAGTTAATTCAGCATATTTATTATGCAGACGTAATTAGTGAAAGTTAAAATACATTTAAATAAAATTCTGCAACAACACCAGGCTGCCCGAGGATGTGCCTGACTTTAAATCAACCTTACTC